AAAAAAAAAACAAAAAAAAAAGGAAGAAAGAAAAAAGAAGAGAAATCAACACGGACGATCAAAACTACCAACACTGATACAAACCAAACTCTAGAGATTCCCCAACTTTAGTAATCGCCATTTTTTAGTCTCGACAAAAATGTCAATATCCTGAGTTTTATCAGTATTTTCTTTCTAAAATAATTTATGGGACACAAAGCATACAAATAAACAAACAGAAGCAGTGGTACAAAAAGTCTAGAATAGCCCACTAACTAGAAAAAGAAATGTCACAAGAACAATATAAAAAGATGTATTTATGTGAAATAAATTAAAGGTTAAACCTTACATTTTCAAGTTTTCTTAGACTATACTATTTGGGGAGATGGCCTAGAGTTGATGATGTATTTTTCTGATAATCACCTGGTTAGGATCAAATGCCAAATGATCCTTACCAAGACATTTCTGCCTTTAAAAATCATGGCCCCATTGCAGATATTTGGACATAGAAGAAACTACCTAAATCTCAATCGGTAAACAAGGCATTCTGTCTACTAACCTGGCTGTCAAAATGGTAACTTAAAAATGCTTACTTGACTAGCGTCTACAGAAACAAAAATTTTGGTGCACAGGTTTCTCTAAACCAGAGCTGTCTTTTGGTTTATTGTTGTTGTTAGAAAACAAAATAACACCAATCCAATAACCCAAAGGTGTCCCAAAAGCATAATTCTAATATGCTTTACTCTTATTTTTAAAAAACCTATTCACCTCCTAATTATTTGTATTTTTAAGCCAACTGGCTGTATACTGCCTTTAAAACACAATGGGGCTTATTTAACATGGCATTGCTACTCAGAAACTTGTACTTGTTGGGGAAACAATACTAATTGTGCTAAAACAAGGGTTATGCTATACATAGAATCACTCCAAATCACAAAGTGATTGATTTCTATAGCCCTAAGGAATTTTAGTACATAATTTAGAAAAAAAAAAAATCACAAATAGATCAACCAAATGGCATTCAACTTTCTTAGTCCAATTAACCATCTCCAATAAAACCAAGAACCTCCTGCAGGACCTGCCGGTTCCCTGTTCCTTTTATCAACCTAGAAAAGAAGCATTTCTTGGGAAGTGAGGATTTATTAAGAACATCGAGGTCCAGGATTTTTTTTTTTTTTTTTACCATATACCTTAAAACTTTGTTTTATCCCCACAAAAAAATCCGTATCATTTAAAACTAGATATTCAAATTACATGGCTAACATTCTTAGCTAATCAACTCTTCAGTGCTGATCCTAGAAAACAACCTTCAATGGATCTTTGAATAATGGAACAAGACAACGTTCGGCCATTGATACGAGTGGTGTAGGTAGTCACACCTTTAACGTTCAAGCCACAAACCGTGAACTTGGAAGGGGTGAGGTCTACTGTCCTGCATTATCAGGAGTTGTTGTTGTATTTTCAGTGCCACCAGGTTGCACGTTATCTGCAAGGTTGTGTGCGTGCTCAAGAAACAAGTCTTTCAGTACGCTTAATTCCTTAGTCAGCAATTTAATTTTTGCTTCCAACCGTTCATTCTCTTCTTTGAGCTGATTCACCCTCTGCAGTGTATCCTGTGCCTTCTGCTTGCTTTTCAACCGGCTCTTTTTCACAGCCATGTTGTTCCTCTCTCTGCGCTGCCGATACTCATCACTGTTTCGATCCATGGGCGAGCTCTTTTTGCTTTGCTTGCTCGGAGGCGCGGCTTTGCCCCCTCCCCCAGAGCCGGCAGGCACCAGCTGAGGAACCTGCTGTAAGCCGCTGGCATGAGCCTGAGTATGAATAACACTTATTCCAGGAGTGCTGTTCTGCTGTGCTATCTTGCTCATTTGGGCACGCTCTCTTGCTGACACGGAACAGGTAGAAATGAGGGCAAGGTGATCAACGGTTTCCACACTAAGCTGCCAAGAAATCTTCACATGTACCTAGTTAAAAAATAAATTGCATTAAAATGTTTGAAATGACAAGATCAAATGAGATTAAACTTGCAAGTACCTAACAGCAGGCCAACATTAATTGATTATACTGAGAAAAGTCTACAGCAACTGCCAACTGTTCCAATGTTTCAGAAGTCTAAATCATTTAATTTAGAAAGGTGAGTTAGTACAGAAGCACCATAAGGCCAAATCCAGCCCACCTGAACCCCTGAGGGTACTACCCATCTGTGACTGTTATCAAAAATGGAAGGAAAAACAAAAGAATACCGCTAATTAGGTAGCACATATGAACTAATAGCACTTGGCAATCTGCCAGAGAGAAATGAGATGTTTGGGTTAAACATGGAAAACCTGAGTTCAATTATGATAGAAGAGACACCTGCAAAGAAGGGGAGAAAAGTTTCGATTGTCCGCTCACGTCAAACAAGCGTACTGCAGCGCAGCGCCCGGTCCCCACTACTCATCAGGGTCGCCGCACACTCCTGATGCCGACATACAGGGACGGAGTCATCGAGGACTGGCCTCTCCTCCCAGAGTACATCTTTATGGGATATTCTGAAAAGCGGGGGCGGGCGGTGTTGGCTTGTTTTTATTTATTCATTTATTTATTTATTTATTTAGTGCCTCAAAGAGAAGTAGTTTACATAGATTTCCTAAGTTTGTTTCTTGGATCCTAGACTTAGGAGCTCTGAGACACCCAGTCTGCTGTCCCACCCCACCATGCTTCTTCTAACAGTACTTTTTTTCTTCTTGACGTAATAAACACATCTAAACGTGGGCAACCTGAACCGCAACGAGAGACATAAAAGCCTTAAAGATGCATCCAAAGCAGAGCAAGCCTGGGGCTGAGGCCAGACAGAGGCCGAGCAGCGGCAGTGCCCACACCCACGGCCCACTGAAGAAGGGGCTCAGGGGAAACGCCGACTCCAAGTGCCACGGCAGTGCCGCCCGTAGAAATGAAGCCACAGTTTCGGAAACTGGTCGTGTGTGGATGACTGTGAGTCCAACTAGGCCCCTACAATTGCCTCAAGAGGTGTCAAAAGGATACCTATCCTATCCTGAGGCCACTTCAAGACAAACTGACTAAGCTGCTGAGCCACGTCCAGCAAGAAATCAACTTACTCTTGGAAATTCAGAAAGCGATGTTATGAACCATAAAACTATCCTGTCTTCTTTTCACAAAACTGCCAAAACTACATCAGTGGAAAAAACCTGGGGCCAGAATTCTGAAATGCCTCAAATGAGTACACCTCATAGTTCTTAAGCTCAGTTAGTAAACACCAGAAGCTTCACCCAAACTTTTAGCTGGGCATTTCCGTATAAAACACTGTTTACTGGCCTGCTTTTTAAAAATCTTTCCTTTTAGAAAGTCGCTATATCCTTACTTTCAATGGTCTCCAAAGCCATGCAGGCAGCCCTGAGCTAGTGAGCCATCTGTTCTCACTCCAATATAAGGCAAAAAAAGAAAGCTTCCTTCCAAACCATGGACGATATCTACTCCAAGTCTATCTTCAGTAGTGGACATTTCACAATCTCCTTTGATAATTTACTATGTTGCCTATTTTTCTTCCAGTTAAACAGTGGCAGTTCAGTATTAATTTGAGCCACCTTACCACTAAAAGTGTTAGTGGCCATCAACATTATTGCTTATTTGGTGTAAAGTGGGCATAATATTTTAGTCAATTTTTAAAAACGTGTTTAACACTTCTCCTGGGATTGTTTCAACTATCATAATCATGGTCATCTTCTTTAACTTTTTAACTTTTCATATGCCAATTATGTTTTTAATCTTTAAAACTAATCTAGGGGCGCCTGGGTGGCGCCGTCAGTTAAGCGTCCGACTTCAGCCAGGTCACGATCTCGCGGTCCGTGAGTTCGAGCCCCGCATCAGGCTCTGGGCTGATGGCTCAGAGCCTGGAGCCTGTTTCCGATTCTGTGTGTCCCTCTCTCTCTGCTCGTTCATGCTCTGTCTCTCTCTGTCCCAAAAATAAATAAATGTTGAAAAAAAAAAATTAAAAAAAAAAATAAAACTAATCTATAGACAACACAAAGATAAGAATGATCCAAAGAAGTACAGACCAGGAGGAACCAGGTCAATACTGTCTTGGCTCTGGCTCCCCTCTTTTGCTCGGAACCTATATCCTTTCCTTCTTGGGGCCTTGATTTCCCCATCTGCAAATGAGGGATGTAGAATGGTAAGATGCCTTCTGACTCTGAAAATATACCATGAACTTCAGTACTAAAAAGTCTTTTCTTCCTGCCTTATGCTCGGCTTTTTATGCCCAAATCACTAAAAGATTTTAACACCGGTTCCAAATTCAGTGACGTTCATGTCCATTTTGGTACCCAGAGATACAGGAATAGAGAAGAGCTCTTTTTACCTCAGTCTGACTCACAGTAGAGGGGCTGAACATAGTAGGCTGAACATACTAGGGGGGACTTTGAAAATGTGCCCTTTGGCTTGAAAAACAAAGAGTAATTATCAAATTGGTAAAAACGTAAGCAACGAAAACTCAGAAATATTAAGAACTTTAAAAATGTTGTTGTTTTGGGGCGCCTGGGTGGCGCAGTCGGTTAAGCGTCCGACTTCAGCCAGGTCACGATCTCGCGGTCCGTGAGTTCGAGCCCCGCGTCAGGCTCTGGGCTGATGGCTCAGAGCCTGGAGCCTGTTTCCGATTCTGTGTCTCCCTCTCTCTCTGCCCCTCCCCTGTTCATGCTCTGTCTCTCTCTGTCCCAAAAATAAATAAATGTTGAAAAAAAAAATTAAAAAAAAAAAAAATGTTGTTGTTTTAAAGTTCCTCAACCAAAGCCAAGAAAGTTTAAGTGAAAAAAATATCCATTAAGGAAAATGAATCAAGTAAAGGGGGTCAGAGCCAAGTGGTCCAAAAAAGCTGACTCCAGAGTATCAACTGTTTTTACACAAGCAAAATAGCTGCCTCCAAAAGTTGCCCAGTTTACACTGTCACTTACGCTCTTGTTCCTTCCACAAACACTTATTGAGCACCTACGATGGGCAAAAAAATACTAGTTTATTTCAAACCTGGATATTCAATCCCAAATGAAAATCTGGCTCCTGCGTAGACAAATACTATTCCAAAGTTCATTCTACAGGAAGCAGGGCGGCGCCTTATTTCCTTACATGTGAATCATTCGAGCAGGGAGGAGCAGAAAAACTGAGCAGTTATTCTCAAAGTGCGGACCAGCAGCAGCAGCATTTGGGAACTTGTGAGAAATGCAAATTCTCGGGCTGCCCAGACAGAAGGATTGGGAGCTTCAGGAATAGGCCCAGGCAATCCTGTTTCAACGGGACCCTGAAGTGATGAAGTGTGAGAGCCACTGCTGCAGATTCACAATGAGGAGGTGCATTTTTTTTTTAATTCAAATTTTTTAATTCAAGGAGTGTTCATCGAAATCAGCAACACACTGAAAACGAAGAGCAGCCAGAATGAGTAAAACAAATTTCTCTCAAGTTTCATCTGGGAAAATAAACTTATCAAGAATTTTCCTAATCCTCCTGTCATCTTTTTTCACATACGTACAACCAGATATTCCTCCCCATGCCCCCCAAAATAAACTTTTAACTCCAATCTCCTCAGTGAATGTCCACACTCCAAAACACTATAGATGTTTCTCCCTGACACCAAATCTTTACAATCACTGGTATGTGACAAGGCTACCCACCCAGCTCCCAAAAACTTACAACCCACCACCTTCTCCATCCAAATGCCACAGAATTAATTACCTCAGGCTGACATCATCTCTCAAGGGGCACTGGTCTCCTCTGGTTTAGCTGTTCCCTCCAACCACTGCCTCCAGAGCAATCGAACACTCCAACCTGCTCCAGTGTGTAGGATCAGATTGAAGGTATCAACTCTCTCTCCAGCCCTTGCTCCCTTACACTTCACACCTCAACAACACTGAACCACTATCAACCCCCTAAATGGTCCTGCATTCTCTTTTCTTTGTACTGCTGTCCAGGTGGTTCCCCCAGTTTCTCTGTCAATGCCAGCTCTCCCTGGAGACTAAGCTAGAGGCAGCGATCTGTCTTCATGTCCACACGCTCAGCATCTAGTAGTGCAGGGCGAGCCATATAGTGGTGGGGCCCAAGAAATATCTGTCGAGGGGCTCCTGGCTGGCTCAGTCGATTGAGCGTCCCACTCTTGATTTCAGTTCAGGTCTTAACCCCAGAGTCATGGGATCGAGCCCTGTATCAGGCTCCACGCTCAGTGTAGAGCCTGCTTAAGATTCATTCATTCATTCATTCATTCATATTCTGTCTCTCTCTCTCCTTCCCTCCCCCCTCCCCTCTCCCCTACTTTCACTCTCTCTCTATCTAAAATAAATATGATGAGGGGCGCCTGGGTGGCTCAGTCGGTTTTTTTTGTCTGTTGTAAACCATACCAAGCGTCCGACTTCCGCTCAGGTCATGATCTCACAGTTCTTGAGTTCGAGCCCTTCATCGGGCTCTGTGCTGATAGCTCAGAACCTGGAGACTGCTTCGGATTCTCTCTCTCTCTCAAAAATAAATAAGCATTAAAAAAAAGTTTTTTTAAATAATAAAAAGGAATAAAATAAAATGAAAATAATTTTAAAAGGGGGAAATGTGTCAAATACTGGCTAAAAGAAAATATTTATTTTTATAAACATCATATAGAGAAATGAGATAGGTTCTCTAGTACTGGAATCTCTTAAAACAACCACAATTAAATCAGGAGTGTTAAGACATTATGGTCTTACTTCCTTAGGTTCTTGGTCTTTCTTAAAGGTGTACATGAAAATAAAAATATAATTCCACTTGCTCCTTTGAGTACCCAGTCTATACAGTGAACATCATTTCTAGTCTGGTCTTTGCTTTATTTCAGTTGAGAACTTGCTTTTCTACTTAGCCCAGTTATGCGTTCCAATTAATAATCTCAAGTTCTTAGGCATCTGTTGCCAGGGTCTGACAACTCCATACTGCAAGAGATGTAAAGGTAAGC